GCTGTAGTGGGCTGTATGGTTCCCTTTATAGCAGCACTCTCTCTAGTTTCTGCTACATTCCTAAAACAGAACAAACTGCCAGTGTAATCCATGAGCCTTCCTGCTCCCTGCCCTGAAAAACGTTGCCAAAGCTAAAAAGGGAAAATGCTTCCAGCAGGGACTCACTCCAGAATTACTTATGAGATGAGAATTTATACTCTGGGCTGTTAATCTGCTGTTGCAGCCTAAAACGCAGGAACACAAAAAATGTAAGCCCAGTGATAGGATGGTTTGGCAGTTTTTCTGTGACAATGATATCTCAAGAAATAATGTGACTGCAGTACGGGACAATGCAGAGTAGGATTATTAATTTTACTGAGTTGCATAGTTATGAGTCATGTCGGCTCTCAAGCAGAGAGGTTTGTGTGGTAAAGTAGTTATATCATGAAAGGTGCTGGTTGGAGCTAAGGGAGGGCATTAGTTTTATTTGTGGTGATTGTTTCTGGGATCATTATTGCTTGAGTAAAGGTAGAGTGGAGTGCATATTCTGTTTGCAACTGGCCTTGATTTATGGGAGAGGGTTTTCTGTAATCGGTTTTGCACAATCCTAGATCTTGTGTGCTGTATTGGAGGAATGTTTATTTTGCTTTTGTTATTTTAGCTCATTATTTAATAATGATTGTTTTAATATTAACCCTCTCCCTCTATAACTCCATTTGTTTTCCTTTTTTTTTTTAAATAAGTAATCCTTTGATAATACACAAATATGCTTCAGAATCACCTCTTCATCTACAGTTTCCATCATAATTTGTTGATGGCTATAGCAAAATTTTGAACAAAGATGTAAAGGCTTATTGGAGCCTTTTTAAGGATTTGACCTTTAAAATCTTCATGTGCAGTTAAGACTTTCTTCCTTCCTGGCATAGCGATAAATCCTCTCACTTTCACTGCATTAGGGAAGAGAACTGAATCAGATTTTTTAATCAAATGCTTGGGAATTGGCCCAAGATCAAACTAGTCGCTTACGTGCTGTTTTCTCAGTTTGTTTCATTTGCCGAATTTTAGTAAAAGACAAAAGGTAAGGCAAAAACATCTGAAAAGCTGTATTAATGCTTTTGTGAGAGCAGACACGTAACTTGCCACGTAGAGAAATCCACGTCTTTTTAGAGCCCGTATTCTATCTCAAAAAGAGCCCAGAGCTACAGGGTTAACAGGCAGGAAACTGCAGCTGCAGCCGGCTGACGCGGAAGTCAGGTTTTTGTGTAACAGCCTGCCCGAGCGGCCGAAAGGTGGGGGCCGAGGGGGCCGGCGGAGGGTACCGTCTCTGGTGCGATCCTGGTATTTTTGGTTACGCTCTGCGGCATTTTCATCAACAGGGAGGGCATGGACTGAGTGGCAGCAACCCTCCGCGATCGTGCAATTTCAATCGTATGACAGTTTTTGTGGAAATGAGACATGAAGTTTTTCCTATTTAAGGCTCGGCTTGTCATAGTATCTAAAGAAATCACACTGTCGGTATATGGTTGCTACGCTGGGTGTTAACGTATTTAAATTCTGGAAGAGGAGAATTCTCTCAGAACTTCCAGTTACTCATTTCAGTCCCTCCTGTGCACGTTCACTTTTGGTATGTTTTGCTCTCTTTCCGTGGCCTTGTTTTCTCCGTGCCACACGTTGCAGAACACCAGCAAAGTGAATTTAGCTTTTTGTTTTGTAAAGAATAGCTTTTGTGACCTGGGTGAACTCCTCCTCCTTCAGGTTTAAAATAGCCAAATGCCTTCGGTAATGGCATGTTGAGACACATTTGCTCAGGCAGGCAGTTTGCGATCACTTCCCTCGGCTTGAAAATCTGTGTATTTTGCACGGGGAGTGCACATTTGGGGTTTCTTTTCAAGTTTCTTCCGCTGAGACGGGCCTAGCTTAGCCTGTCTTCTCTGTGCACAGGATGGCTCCTGCTTGCCAGAGCTGCACAAAGATAATCGCTCAGGAAGTGTTTCAGCCAATCCCCTGAAGCTTTACATTCAGATTTACCAAAGTAGCCAATCCGGGATTAGCTTTTATTAGGAAGACAGATCATCAAGCTGAAGTGCCAAGCCCTTTCTGCCTGAGTACTGAGAGCCTGTCCTCCATGTTTTATAAGTATTGACATAACACTGTGTTAACAATGCATCCACAGAGGTAAGCCTTACTTTTTACATTTTTTTTTCTCTAAGACCTATGAGTTGTGGGTTGAGAGTGTGATTCTCTGTGATTTGTTGTGCAAAACTCACACCACAGCACTTTATTAAGTTGGAACTGTTTAAATTTGCTTTCTTGGGTCACATGGTTAGTAGCCATTAGCCACAGCTTTATTTTGCAGACTGGCAAAACCTTGGCATACATACTTCTTCACAGGAGGATGGTGTTTTTAGAGTTTATCAAGATCCTGGTATTCCAAAGAAGCTTTCTGTCTCTGAGCAGTTTGCCAGCACTATTGTCTGTTGTGTCACATGCCTGCTGAAGAGAAAATGGAAGCTAGGGAGCAGATGCATTTAACTGCCCTACAGGGAGTCAAGCAGGGATAATGGCAGACAGAAGAACAGGCAAGTTTACCTTTCTAAACAGTGAATGGAATAGCTAAGATAAGTTATCTCTGAGAAAATGTGGGATTTTTAAAAACCTAGACATCAGCAAAAAGTGCTAATGGCAGATTGTAGATATTGGGCCTAGGTGGTGGTGTGCTGTTGCATCATGTTTTTTATGCATCTTATCTTAACTTAAAATAATTATTGAACTTTTTTTCTTGCAGGAGTAATTAATACAACGTGTTTCTTTTTCTGAGGGACAATGTATGGTTAATATTTTGTTCCTTTAAAAGGGAGTTTTTATGCTGCAGATTTTGGAAATGGGTTGCTGCTCAATAAAATGCAGCAGTACATCTGTTTGCAAATCTGATTCTTTATGGAAAATGTTTTTGAACTGTTAGCTTTCTTCTTTTACATAGTTCAAATAAACTAATGTACCTTTTAACTGTGCCTTTTTGTTTTACACTGTATCAGCCACAGTTCTGTGTTGTGGAGTCCAGAGGATATAAAATCATGTGTGGTTCATGACAGTAGTATATGTTGTTCGTTCTTGGTTTTTGTCCTTTTTTTAAAAAAAAAAACCAAACTTTTGGTTTAATGCTACGTAACTCTTTCAAGAAATTCCTTTTTGATCAATTCCCAAATCTGCCAGCCTGTTGTATCTTCTTAACTGGAAAAATGAGATGGGTGCTTGAACAGTTGGTAAGTAAGCAGCATGCTACTCTCTGAACATTTTTAATAGTTTTCCAAACATTTTGTTTTTACTGGGTCACTTAGTCCAGTAGATGAAGTAATGTTACTGGTTAGTCATATAAAAATTAGATTTGCTTAGCGTCCATTTTAAGGGACTTGTACATGTAAACTGTTTCAGTTTGAACGTACTGTTTTTTGATAATTTGCCTCTAAAGTTTGAAGCTTATACTTCCTGTTTACCTCAGGCCAGTGAAAATATTCTACTTGCTGTTTGTTCATAGGTCATTAATTACCATGTTTGTAGGGTAAAGCGCATTTTCGTTGTTCCTTAGGCTTTTGAGGTGTGATGAAAGTGCTAGTACTCAGCAATGAAGTGACCTTACGAAGTAAAGTAAATAATCCTTAATGAGCATGTGCTTCTGATACTATACAAAGTGTAATCTCAGACAAACTTGCTAATTTATAACTAATTTAGAACATTTTGTGCCCTTTACTAGGATTTCAATTGTAGTGCTTGCCTGCTTGTTTTAACAAGCTGTTTTTTCAGTGATCATCACTACTGTTACAAAAGCAGAGGAAGGATGCACTTTTGTGCTTTTAATCTAGGTTTTGCAGGTTTTTTTAGCAGTCCACACACATTCATGATTTTAGGACAGAACTTAGAGCTAAGGTAGCTTTGCAAATGACTGCACCGAGGCACAGTTACATGCTAACTGCTAACTTTTATAGAAGGTTGCCATGTATTTGATAACATTCTGTAACCTGTAACGTAGCAATTTGCCTCTGGTTACTTGTTTGCCAGTATGAGTATCTTTCTTGGAATACCTCACTTTGCTTAACAGCTCTTTCCTTCTCTCTCCCCCCCGCCCTCATCTCCCCCCCCCCCCCCCCCCCCCCAAGGGTTAGATTATAAGAATATCTAGTTCGGTTTGCAACCTGAAACACTGCTGGGTTGTACCACTGCGTTTCATGAGCATTTTTGTATGCAATCTTAATACATTTTTCAGCATACATGAAAGTGCTAACACAGCTAAGAAGTTATTCCGGTTTCTGTTCTTCAGTTGCTAAAAACAGGAATTACATTTGGACATAATTTTCCTATCAGTAGTTTATACACATTAGCAGTTTACTTTCCATCTTAAATAGTGCACAACGTAATATTTGTTTAATATGAGGAAGCAGGAGTAAGTGATCTGCAATCAGAAAGCTTGTATTAAAATGGCTCCCACAGGTTTTGTTAAACTAGGATCTGTTTCAAATCTGCACCTCCAGACACACTGCTGACAGTGAAGCATGTTTGTATAAGCTGCCCTTGTGCATGTAATGAAACATAGCATCGTGTGTCTGTTAAAGTTCACTATTTTTAGTCACTCAAATATAATTCTTTTATAGTTCACAAAAAATAAATGTCTGCATTGCAGCAAGATGTCTGAGGCAAGGTAGAGACAGCAGTGTTGTTTTCCAGATCAGCCCAATCGCGCTGCTCTGTGGACTACTTGAGCCAATAGAAGCAGAGGGTAGGTTAAAGATTGACAATTGCAGTGGCAAGACTGAGAAAGGCCTTCTGGAAATTTCTACCATCTTTGTTCCATCTAAGTAAAGCAAATTCAGCCAAGCTGAAGAATTTCATATATTTTTGGTGCTTTCTCAAGGTATGATGTTATCACTCACTTTCATAGATTGCATAATAAGCACTCTGTGCCGTTTTTTCTACTGTTCAGGACAGATGGAATGTGGGGTTTTGTTTAAGTGGTAGACATGGGGAAAAAGCACGTATTCTTTCTACCAAAGATTTTGCAGGACTGGATCTTGTTAATATCACAATTAGACAGGACATGTATGAAGCAATGTAGCTGAGGTTTATTCAGCTTGTAGCAAGTGGCCATTATTCGAATGTAACTAGCAGTTAATCGTATAATTGCACTTTAAATTTTCTGGCTACTAAAGAGTAATTTGAATTGCCCAGGATGAATATGATTAGCCATTATTATTTAGAGCCAACATCCAGTTACGTTTGTAATTAGCTGGACAAAGAATGCAGTGGGGGAAAAACAAAGGAGTGATGTGGATTGTAAATTATGATGAAAACAGTAGCTTTTTAAAAGCTACATGCCTCTCATTCTTTGCAGGCAAACTGTTTTAGTTGGAAACTAAATAGTGCTAGGGAAAACTGAGTGATTTCTTTAAACAAATGACACTACTTAACATACTGAGAATGAAAAAAATGCAGAGTGAAAACCACCCCAAATGTGACATCCCCCACCCCCCACCCCGGCCTGCCGCATCAGGCAGGAGTATTGAAATGTAGGAGAAAACCTACATTGCTACTGTAATAAAAGGAACTTCATGCTCAAAAATCATAAATGGGTAGATTAAATTACTAATTTATCCATTTGTATCAGTGTCCACAAACTTCGATTCGCTCGTCTTCCTGAGTTGTCTTCCATTTTGTGATACCGCTTTGGCTTGGGTTTGGTTTTGGTTTTGTTTGTGTCTCTTTTTTCGCCTTTTTGCTTTGTTTTCAAGTGTATTGGCCATGTGGATCCAGCAGCTGAAAAGTGATAGGTCATGGTTGGTTTTCCATAGTAGTGGTGCCACTCCAGTGTAATTGGTTAAAGGGTGATAAATCTCAGTAAAATCTTCCCTCTTTTCTGTCTGGGATTCAAGGTATTAATTTGAATCTCCTAAATATCTTGGAAGTTGAACATAACCTTTGCCTATATAGAATGTAGTAGATAGCAATTTCCAAATTTTGTTATTTGTGGATCCCTAATATTTTTCCCATAGGCACGTGAATCCCATGATAGTGAATTTAAGCCTGTTAGAATAGGTTTGATTTACTTAGTTATTGTCTGCAAACCCCTTAGTAGTAGTACACTGGCTTGGAGGGATCTGCAAACCAGAAACTGAAAACCGTCATAGTAGGCCATTGAGCTTGGCCCTTTAAATTGCATTTAGAAAGTATTTAAAATGTATTTATTAATAAACATGTCTGGTATTCATGGGTTAAAGCCCAATTTGGAAAGAGCTACATAGGAACTGAGTTTTATTTATTTTATAGAAGTTGCCTGTCATTCTGATGTTAACTCTTTATTGCCAATTGTCATGGCATGTGTTTCATCCTGTGAGATTATAACCATGCTGTAGCAGGACGTAAACATCCTTAATTTAGCCAGTATAAGCCTTTACTTTCAAACATGGTTGTTATTGAATTATGGTTTTAGCATCTGAAATCTATAGCTGTTCTGGTAGCCTTGCTTGGGCCTCAGATCTATAGCTTATAGTCTTAAAGAGGACAGTATGACACCAAGGATCTCCCTCCCTCCCCTGATTTTTCTCTTTCTTGGAGCTCTTTTGAATGCACCCTGAATAAGAATAAGGTTTTAAAAAGAACCTAAATGTTCCTTAAATTAAATATGTATATATATTTACTTTGCTTGTTATTAGAGGTAACTAGCTTAAACATTACTGTATGTAGGTATCTGAACAGGCATTTTGTGTATGTTAATTGCTTAATACAAATTGAGCATTTTGCAGGGAATTCTGCAGAAGAAAATGTAAAATATGAGGTGCTCAAACTGGAAAGCGAATCTAAAATTGAGTTATTTCCTTAGTAACCTGTGACTTCACAAAACTCACTGTCTTGTTCCTTTTTAGTTAAACATTTGGATGTCAGGTGTCTTTTTGTCATACTTTACAATTTCTGGTATTTAGATGCTTGCTTTGAATATAGCACTGCTGTTTAAACAAGAGATACTGTTATTGAATAAACTGCTACCATTTTAGCTACAGTACAGGAATGAGGCAGTGCAGTGCTGTCAGACGCCATTTTAAGAATCCTGCATAAATAGCATAGCTACCGATGAGTAAGAGACTGTTATAGGTGAGTGCTTATACAAAGCTGCTATTTATTCAGCAATGGCATGCAAATATTTTTTTCAAATTTTTGTTGAATGCAGTTTTTTGAAATCATTATTTAGAATTGCTACTCACAAATGTGATGAGAGATGCAGGAATTTTCTTAAGGATAAAATTCAATTTTAGTGCTTATAGTCTTAAATCAGGACTTTTTGTTTTGTTTTCTATTAATAAAAAGGAAAAATTAATTCCATAAATATATAGTTCTTGATTTTAAATTCATGCGTTTATTCCCTAATGTAGATCTAGAATTGTGTATGTGGGCATTAGCTGTTTCGAGTGGTTTTCCATATCTGTCAGTTTTTCTTGGTTAAATGTCAAGGTGCAGTAGTTCATCTGCAACTTTTAATTGCTCTTTGTAGTTAATAGTGGTTAGAGCAGCTTTAAATATTTTTGTACATGTATGTTTTTTTCAGGTAAGTAGTACTACTAGTACAGGAATGATTATTCTAAACAGAGAAGTCAGTATTTTATTTACTGGTCTGAAAATTGAGAAACTGAATTTCATATAAAAAAATCCCACCCTCTCTTCAGTTTAAGAGAGAACATATTTAATAATTAGTCAGCTAAGTTCTTTTTGCATTTATATGTAAGTATCAATAAATCTTGTATGTTTGCAATCCTTATTTTTTTTCTTTCTGTCCCTAACTATCCCCAAAGGAGTAATCTCCACCCCTTGTCCTCTCATTCAGACATGTTTAAATAATTTGTATGCAACCAATTAGTTTAACATTTTAGAAAACAATTTATTCTTTTTTTTAAAAAAGTTTTGTCAATATGAGCAGGGAAGTTTTAAATGATTAATTGGTGTTCTAGAATTGACAGCAAAACTGGTAAAGCTTAAATTTCAGTTGTGTTCTTAAAATATGTTCCTCTGTTCATTCGTCTTAATAAGGAAATAAGAGTAGCCTTCAGAGTGACATAGGGTGTTTATTGTATTCATCTAGGTCCTTAATTGAGTATATACCAATATCACTTCTGATCCGCAGCCTCAGAGCATCACATTCATAGTATACATGCATGATAGTAATGCATGCTATCTGAAACAACAACTCCAAGCCCTGCAAAAATAAATTTTCAAAATAAAACTCTCTAGAATGATCTACTTGATCACACAGTTATACTTTCCATAGAACTAGATGCTTTTTTATAATTATTTTGCTGCTGGTTTTAATTTTCTTTTTATTTTGTTGTGGGTAATAGTAAGGTACCTGTCATTAAGGACCTGTTTTTCTTGAATTATTTAATTTGAAATCTTTTGCTAATTAAATTTCTGCATTTGGAAGTTTGTGTTTATAAAGCATTTTCAGACTATTGCTTATATTGACAGAAGGTGCAAAGGTGAAAAGATCTGTCAGCTTTAGAAAAGTTACTGTAAAGTTGCTGTGAATTGCTAGCATGTTTTTACAAACTTAAGTCTTAAAGATTACCACTAGATTACCACTGCAATCATCACTGCCACCATTCAAACAATGTCACATTGTGCAAGTCATAATACTTTACAGCAAATAAAACAATGGGAGATATTTCTGAAGAGCTGTGAATTTTAAGTGTCTTTTATAGCTAAGTCTAATATGCTTATTTAACTGTTTCCCCTCAACATTTTCATTTTTTTGCAGAACAGTCTCAGTGATTTTCTTACATACGTGAATGTTTGTGCCCTTAAAAGGTTGAGCCAGATTAATTATAGTAGAGAATATGGAGATGCAATCTGTTCCTCTAAGGCTCAGTGTTCATAGTATAGTAGGTAATTGCTGAATTTTGTTTTTGTTGTGGATGATGCACAGTGTGCATATGTGTGTATAGGAGATATGCACCTCCATTTCTAAGAAAAAAGAAGAACCTTTGTGTCAAGTGATGAAGGCATTTTTGACTGTTTGTTTATACTTCAAATCTTTGGTAAAGCTGTCTTCAGGCATTTTTTATGTAATGTATCAGAGATGCGTCAAGTGAAGACAAACACAGGAACTGCTTATGAATAATGTTTTTCTTGTCCCTATAGACCTATTGAAAGAACACTCAAAAACTGACTAAATTTCCTAAATTAAACTCATTAGATGGGGAAAGACAGATTTAGAGCTGAAGGCACTTCATATGCTGTAACTAATACGTAGGAGTCCTGACCTGTAACACCCCTGCAGTGCTAGGTTTGGGCCCACAGGTGCAGAGCATCTTCAGTCAGCTCTGTACCTTTCCCTGCTACTTCGGTCAGGGGTGGAGGAACAGTTCCAGCTACTGCGTTACTGTACTGATCTGTCACAGCCATTTCTTAACTCTGTCTTTTAATACTGGCTTGTAGCAACTACTGTATCATTCTTGTTGTATCATGTTCCCCTGAGCTTGTGATTTGAACCAAATGGTACCTGATAGATTTGGATGAGTCTGGAATGTTATGATTGCTTTAATGTAACTTAAATTGAGCTGCTGCTTAAAGGATATTACTCTTTTTTTCCCCCCTTCCCCACATGTGGTACACTCCCATTTCCTCTTTTCTGCACATCCAGCTGCACAGTGAGCTAGATCACAGAACTGATTCAGTTAAAAAGAACATGATTTCTGGAATATGAAGTTAGGGATTGGGGAAACTATTCCTTTCGGTAGCAACCTGTGTAAAATGATCTTATGACTTCAACCTGAGTCTCATAAAGACTTGTATGTCCTAGTCTGTGGCTGAAACTGGATCTATATTTTAAAACCAGGTAACGTGTACTGCCAAATTACTTCACTCTTGACAGAATTAGTGTGTGTTATTACATATTTACCTGTGTGTATTATTAATCATATATACATGATGTTTTAAAAATATGTCTTTCGTTACAGTTTGGGAATATTGAAATACGATTTTATAAGGGGGGAGGGGAGGGAAAAACCAGTACAACACGGGAAGAGAACAATGAACCCATCCCGTGAGCCCATCCCTTTCCATTGCTTAGGAAAGAGAATGGGCAGAGGCAAGTGGTGCATGAAATGTTTTGGTGTCTGCAACACACTGCCAGCTCCTCTTTGCTGGAGGCCCTCCGGGAAAGGGTGTAACAAATGTGCAGTATAATTGATCTGCCCATGCATAGTAAATCGCTGAGCATTGTAGTACAGTCAACTATGTTATGCATTTAATCTACCCATGCAAAATAAATCTGAGAAGCATTGTGCTGTGGTCAACTGTGCTACACATTTACCATAGTTCTGGTCACATGAGTGCCTTTCCTTGCTACTGAAATGAACAGCATAGTCCACGAGCTGGAAGATTGGGTGCTGGTAGAATAGAACTTCTCTTCAGTGTTTTACAACTTTAAAGAGCTTAATTTGTAAGTTATTGCTATAGACAAATGACAAGTAAAGAATGATGATTTCTGGAGTTCACAGATCTTCTCAGTTTTGGGTCTTCCATACATTGAGCTTGGTTAATATGTATTTAAAACTTTTGCTGACATAACTGTCCTGTTCAGAAGTGTGAAAGGAATTGCAACTCAACCCCATGGTAGTTGATTAAAAGTAGTTTTGACAAATACCAGACTAAAAAGTTCTTCTGCTGGTAAGTTTTACTTTGTTTAGGAAGCTGTTTTAACTTAATACCAGTAACAAAACTCCTGCTAATATAAACTGTTTGTCAGGCTGAAGAGTTTCAGTGATATAAATGTAACCAATTCCTCAGCGTTGTTCCCGAGCTCTGATTAGCTGTCTTGGGCAGATTTAACCACAGTGGCTAAAGCGAAGGTCTCTAGCTTTAGCTAGAGGTGGTCTTGGCCTCCATGGTAGAAATAGCTGTCCCTAGAGCTGGGATGGCCGAATGGAATCTCGGTCCACTCAATAGCAGCAGTAGTTCACGGTCTGCCGTATCAGTGTAAATTGGTATCGGCAACAACTTACAGTAACAGTAAATTGTCACTACAGAGGGAAAGATCTACATCCCAGTTGGCTGTTGTGCTCTGGTGATATCAATGGACAACTCTGATACCTGCTCCAGGCACCATAAGCTCATTTGTCTGTCAGTTTGAATTGGGGCTTGCTTCAACTTCATATGTTTTATTGTATCTTTCATCTATGATAGTCACATCTCCAAAACTGGTGTGTAACTCAATATTCGTTCTGGTTCTTTTTTCTTCTCCCTTCCACCTTCCTTCCCCAAACTGACTTAACTAGCCAAATTAACTGAGTTCTTTTCCTGAATGGCTTCACTGTAAGAAAATGGAATATCAGCAAGTCGGATGTAATTTGTAATCTACTTCATTCTTTAACTCTGCCTGGTGTGATTAAAACTTTGTATGTAAGACTGAGTGGTTGAATGATAGTAACAACTCTGTTCTGTTTACTCTTCATTACAGTTAATAATTGGTGGAATTTTATTGCCAATAAATTATAAGTACTCAGTTTTCTGTTATATAGTCTAGTTTCAAAATCCTTGAAATTATTTATTTATAGGTTTTAAAATTGCATGTTACCTTCTAATTTTGCAAGCTGGTCTGTGTTGCTAAATCTGTTACTTCAACTGTCTGTTCACTGATGCTGGTGAGTCTTTAAATCTTAGCAGGCATCTGTCCACCCAGTTTATAGAGGCCTTAGATTAGGAGCCACAAGGAACAGAATTCCTGTTTGTCTGTCATACAGTTTATACATACAGTGGCATAATCTTCAGTACATGTTACAAGACTGTAATTAGTTTGAAAATGTTACCTTTGTAATTGGTAACATGCAGCATACATGTGTACCTGGATTGTTTCTCTACATGTTTTGGCCAATGTATAGTCTGGCAAACAGCAAACCTTTCATTTCATCAGAAATTTTAATATGGTGGTGTTTGACAGTGTTATGTTGAATGTCTATACATGAAATTAGACATAGGAATAATACAATCTATAACATTTCTAATTCACCTTTTTGAATCCTGCAGCTTGGCTGAAGAGGAAATAAAGGCAGAGCAGGAGGTGGTGGAGGGGATGGATATCTCCACTCGATCCAAAGGTGAGTAGGAAGGAACATTTCATCTGTGTGCTACAACATAATGAATATTTGTAAACCAAAATAGTAAAACTGTAATCTACCATGAAGCTGCTCGAGTGAAGACTCAACACTTGTTGTATTTTTTAGAATGACTATTGATGACTATTGTACGTTAGAAAGTGTTTTAATTTTTGCTTGGTTTTCGTTATATGTCAAAGTGTGTCCCCTGTCCCCCTCCTTGTTATTTCTGGTTTATGAATAACTAACTTGGGTTAAATGATGAAAAAACATCAGCTCTTGTATTATCTCACTTATCATCGCTTCCTTTAAAGTACTTTTAGATTGGCAATGTAAGAGAAAATAGTAGTAGTAGTAGCAATAATGTAGTATTTCCTACAGTAATGAGTCCTAATTTTCCTAAGAACAAACACAGTAACATTTATCTTTCCACAAAATTGGTCCCCTGAGCAGTATGTATTTCATGGACATTTATGTATCCATCCTATTACCCTGACATGAATTAACCTTGGTGCTGGAATTGCAGCTAACTGAGAATTTTTGTCCTTCTGGTTTCTGGAGTTTTCCCTATGAATCAGTTCATGCAGGCAAATGATGTTATCTCTCAGTATAAAGCAAGCCAAATATGTAACTATCTATATCAGTGTGAATATTCCCACTGTCATTTGTAGTGCAGGGACAGAAATGCCCTTCAATCAGAATACTTGCAAGACTTTTAAGTCTAAGTAAGTCTGAATGTGCAGATGTAATTGTCTTGAAAGCATGGCACCGATCATCCGCATTCCTTTGTTTTTTAATGAGGTAGCTGGCGTAGATAATGTGGTTATACAATTGCATTTAAGTCTTACTTGTGCTAACGGACAGTAAATTTCTTGTTTCAGTTCTCATGGTATGGTTAGATGAGGTAGTACGTATGATCTGACAGCGCAGAAGGGATCCACTTGCTCCTTTGCTCCTTCTCCCTGTCCTTTTCTCCCTTCTCTGCTTCTGGTCTTGCATGTCAGTCTCCATCACTGGACTGCTTTTGATGATTACTTATCTCTGTATTTCAGTTTTCTAAGCCAGCAGGATGTAAACTAGTTTTTTTTTATTTTAATGATTGCTGCTGAATGGGGTAAGCTCCCAGCTTTGTACTCCCACCATTTACTTCCTTTGTGGTGCTTGTCAGATCCCAGCCACTTGAACTTTTGTAACCAACTTAAAAATGGAAACATTTTTCTGCTGTTGTGAAACAGTTTGGTGGGTATGAAAACTCGATGTAAGAGACCAAGGGGGTTATTAGATGCATTTAGCTGCCCATGAAATCTCACCTTGATTTATCCTTAGGAAGACTTTGTCCACATATTAGTACTAAAAAGAATTTCATGTGCATTAAGTGAGCTCAACTATTACTTTTGTCACTCTGACATCATCAGTGTCTAAGTAATTTATGAGTCTGATACCTATTTATGTAGATGTCTGCATTTTCGTGCTGTTGCTTTCCTCAGCCCAGAGACAGGTGTATGGTCTGTGCAAAAAGTGGCAATTTCCTTACGTTAGTTCTAGTGCTGGTCTGACCTCAAGGTGTACTGTTTCAGTGAATTAAGCCCATAGAAAACTTTTTAAAGTTGTTTGTTTGTTTGTTTTTAATGATTAAGATGAAGTTTCCCAGGACAGTGAGCTGATTTAGTACCTCATGGTTATTAAAAGGGGTCAGTCTTTCATCTCCCAACCTTCTCTGACATGTCATCTTGTGGCTCCTCTTTGCTTTGTGGGCTCTGATAAATTCGAATTGGTCAATTGGGAGGGAGCTAACCTGGCAGAAAAACTCATGTTTTTATACTGAGTGAGTTTACTGTAGATACAGCTCCCTGAATGGGCTCATAGGCAAGCTCTGGTAGTGACTGAAAGGAGAGTGGTTTGGAAGACAAAGACAGGATCACCACAGTGCTAGTTTAGATTGGCCCAAGCTGTCATTGTGTGGAAATCACTGGTCTGTATGCAGTAGGACTCTTAGTGTTTTAAACACAAGTGAAAGTGATCTGAACAGCCATAGTAAAGATAAAACTTAACAGAGGTTGAATTAATTGAATAATAATAAGGGAACTTATATTTATTCAACCTGATACTGATTTGCTTTAATTGGCTTGTTAAGTTTGACATGTATGTTGGTAGAACCCATGCCAGCACCATTCTAAGGGCAAGAATAACAACCATCCACACCAACCCCTTAAAGGTATATATTTTTTTCAGTGAATAAGAGATGTGGTTTGTAAGGAAATCTTGGGACTTCCCTATAAGCCATCTTGCTTTGTTGTATTCCCAACCTAATTTATGAATTAGTGGCAGAACTTTATACCAGTTGAATATGTAGTTTTGCATAGAAAGTAAAAGGATCATAAATATCATCTGCTTAGTACAAGAGCTGGCCATATTATAGGTCTGCTAAAATTAATCTTTCTGGACTTCTGTTATTTGGATTGAGACAAATTTCTCTGTTAGTTCAGCGCAGTGTTTCTGCAGCAGCAAACTCACAAAACAGAATTGTAAAACTGTTGTTATACCCTGCCTAAGGTAGAAAAAGTGCAGCAGGGTTCTGAACTGATGGGATAGTGGTAACAATGTTTCCTCTTATAACATTAATCTTGTTCAGAATTTTGCTTTGTGTGTTTTAGATGAGGAAATTGACCCTATATACACAAACCCTTAAGGGAAGCATACAGCTGTTCTTGGTTTGTTTGGGTTTTTTGATGGTCTGAGAAGCCTGTGCAGGAGATCAATCAGTGGTGTTGTACAACTTCGCACTTGCACTGGCGAAGCTGATATACTGCAAGTTTGTAACCTAATTTGCTCTGCTACAGTTGTTTGTACAGCTCATGTGAAGCCATGTCTGAAGAAAGTTGCAGGAAAATAAATTAAATTGCTTTAAAACAATTTAGCCTCTTCATGAACATTCTTGATTTGGTATAAGCAGTTTAACTTTAACTGCTATAAATCAGTTCCAGTTCGGTTTAAGCTAAACTGAAACATGCATTGTTTAATCTGTAACAAGAGTGTTAGCATAGCCTTTGAATCGGTTTAAGTAAGGTGGTGGTTTCAAAGCAGCCTAGGCTGGTCAGACTGCTCGATGCAGCAGTTTTATCCACTTCCTTCCATACCTAAGCTGGCAGGAAACTAACTGAACTGTAAAACATGAATAGTTTTTTTACTAGCTGAGCGTGCTGAAATGGCTTGGTAGACTGCCAGAACTGGTCTAAGAGAGAGGGAAGGAATATACCAGTTGGGTGCAGGAGGTATAGAGCTTTGTTAGTGTATTGGGTTTGCCTGGCGAGGTTTTGGTAGCTAGGGGGGCTGCAGGGGTGGCTTCTGTGAGAAGTTCCTAGAAGCTTCCCCCATGTCCGATATACAAAAGCGACCCACGGGTGGCAAGGGCCGAGCCAATCAGCGACGGTGGCAGAGCCTCAGGGGTAACAGAGTTAAGAAGGGGAAAAAAAACCTGCACAACACCAGTAGCAGTCAGAAGAGAGGAGTGAGAATATGCGAGAGAAACAGCTCTGCAGACACCAAGGTCAGTGCAGAAGGAGGGGGAGGAGGTGCTCCAGGCGCAGGAGCAGAGACTCCCCTGCAGCCCCAGCCCGTGGGGAAGACCATGGGTGAGGCAGGCTGTCCCCCTGCAGTCCATGGGGCTACATGGTAGAGCAGATACCCTTCTCCTTAGGCGGGCACTGATGCTTATGCTGTTGCATAGTAAGCTATATTAAGCAGCTGATCTAGCTGAAAATTGATCATTTCTTGTAGTATTAGTTTTTGCCTGCATCATGAAGTGATTAACCATACTATTACACACAAGTGCCTGTCTGCAAAAGTTGTGGGGACAGACATCTGGTGAGGTGGGGAAGGGAAGAGGAGAAGAGTTACTGCAGCAGTTATAATTTAGATCTGCTTATAAGCTGTGCATGTGCAGCTTTGCTAAAGATGAGGTTTTAGAATACACTACTCTCTTGATCAGAACAAGAAGGCATAAGGCATCTGAGAACTGGAAATGGGAAATGACAGCTTAAAGAGAATAAAAAGAATCCCAAAACACAAAGTGGAATCAGCAGAGGATTGCTGTTTAGCAAAGGAAAAAGGCCATGGATTAGACTATTATAATATTTTGTTCGTTGCATATGATACATTAACATGTCTGACAGAAACATCTTGTTATATTTCTGTTCCAGCCCTATGGCCTACTTTTTAACCTTGTTTATTAAATATTTCAAGATGGGACTTGCAAGGCTTTCTGGAGAATTTTCTGAGTATTTCCAGGTTGTGGTTCCAGAGCAGCATAACCAACTTAATTGTTTGGTGTAGTTCTGTCTTCACTTGCACTTGGTCTTTTTGGACACCAGTGAACTGTCCACTAGGCTTTCTCATCCTATTAACCTGGAAGATTTTTTTTTTTTAATTTTCAGGTTAGTTTTCTGCTAATTTATCTTACTTCCTTGCCAAGAGTAGTTAGCTATGGAGGCAGATGGACTTCCATGTAGGTTTCATATGTTTCAGCTAGTACTGTAACCATTGCCTGTCTAGCGACTAGTCAAAAGGAGCTCTTTAACTCTCTTCTTCCCATCATCAGTCACACATCCCCTATATTTCCTTTGCATCTGTGCTAGTTCTTAGCCAGTCCTCTTCTGAATCAGTTAAGGATTTGGGTATAGAAGTAGTTTTCTATCTGCTTATCTCCCTGAACCGGATTACTAGGGAGTTGGACAGATGCAATTGCTAGGAGCAGACTTGCCCCATCAGTGACAGCTAGTCATAGACAGTCTTAGCTTGTCATAAACTCATATACTGAGACACTACTGCTTAATGGTGAGAATTCTGACTCTTGCAACTTCTGCGTTACTGTGGGTTTGTGTTGAAGGCTTTGGTCTTAGGGGCTTCTCTCAGTGGTAAGAGTTTTGGATATTACAAATATAAATGCAAAATGACTAGTAAAATGGACTTTCCAGAACACATTATATATTTTGTAACAATTTCATAATAGTACATTGTGTATCAACTTTCTGTGTGGTGATACCAAGTATTTAATAACGTAGAGATGAGATTCTGACTCCAGTGAGAAACGTAATTTGAGAATGCTCCAATGAATAGTAGTACAGCCCGAGGATTTTATCTCTAGTGCAAGAGCCCTTGTTACTTAGTAATCAACAGGGGGTCTTCAGGATCAGCCAGGCTCTAGCTTATAAACAGCTTACATCTCTTGCAAGTTGTTGGGAAATGTTTATTTTCCTTTATCTTCCAAACTCCTACAATGAAGAAACAAGTAACAGTGTGTTTTTGTGCTCGTGTAAAATTGTAACATACTAGGAGTTCATCAAGATTTACACAACCGCGGCTAACCTCTGTTATTTATTACATTAAGCAACTGGATTGGGTTAATTGCATCAGTTGAAGTCTCTGGAATGTAAACAGGGCTTTAGTGGTTGGTTGCAACTGCATCATATTTCAAAATTCTGGCATAAGATTAAAATGCCTCAGAGTTGGGTATAAGTTGTAACAGATTTCTCCATGATTTTTTAAGTTTTTTGAAGATAATTAAGCTTGCTATAGTATTATAGGTAACAGATTTGAAAAACCATAAATCTGTTAGCAACCGTTCTGATAATCAATGTAACTGGGAGACTTCACAGTTCTGGAATCAATATAAAATATTAATTAAAGCCTGTTATATCAAATCGCACTGTAGTGATGCTAAGAATGGAGTTAGTGTTGCTCCTTTTTCCTCTCAGAATTCTTCATTGATTTCTCTCAACACCATTTGAAGTACATGCATTCAGAGCTTTTGAGGAGGAGGAAAGAAGAGAGAAGTGGCCGTCTAGGTGGAAGTCAGTTTTCTGTTTTTGTTCTCACTCCTCCTAAAGGCATAGTTACATGTTTCTGTGGGGTAATGACAGCTTAAGCAGTCTTCAGTCACCTTTGTATTCTTTTAGCTTCTCTCACGCTGTCGTCTTTTTTAAGCTAGCCTAGCTGTTTCTGACAGCCATCAAATGAATTCTTCATGAAACTGCTTTCATGAAACTTTTATTCTTTTGTTCTGTTACATTTAATCTAATTTAATTCCTTGATCTGGTTTGCCAAATGTTGGCAGAACTGTTTGTGCCATAATAAAAAAGATAGCACAAGATTGGGAATTAATGTTAACAGAAGTAGCCTTGGGCTGGCTCTGATTAAGTAACACTTCTGCAGAGTGTCTAACTTGCATAGAACAATTGACTAGGTTTCTAACTGGAAACATTATTCAGAATTTTGCATATTTGACCCACTTGCATTGAGATATCAAAAACGTACTTACATTACAGAAAACTTTTATTTGTGTAACTAAGTCTCAGTTTACTAATATCTAATACTGTACCTGGAAGACTGAAAATAATGCTGTCACTGAAAAAGTACATTGCTGTTTCTGCCTCCTGGAAAACCAGAATGACTGCTATTTTTACCATCTTTATCACAACTCATGTTGAAAAGCGTTTTGTTTTGTTTTTGCTACTTAAACAAATGTGTTTCTGGGTTTCCCTCTTCTCACTTTCTGAAAATTTCCAGAACAGAAAAGTTTTGTTTTACAAGCAGTAGATATTACCACTTTATAACAGCTCATTTTTCATAGACCCTGTATTTAAAGTATAAGGAAATTATATAGAGAATTTGAATAACTAATACTCTTCATGAAAGTATAGTAAACTTGAGATAGTGAAGATAAAGATACTTTTCTTTAGAATTGTCTGTTCTTTATTTCGAAATGCAAAACTTTTCTTCCCTTCCATACCAGCTCAAAAAAAGGGTAATTCTTTGCTGACAGTAAAAAGCTTTTATCCTGCTGTTTCCACACTTTTGGGGATGGCTTTTGTACTTTTTTTGTAAGGTTGAATTTGAAAATCATGATATATAGTAAGACTGATTCACTTGGGCTTTTCTCAATTGGCTTGCTATCCATTGCACTGAGGATGCAACACTATGGCAATACACGCTGATCTGAGTGAGACCTGCCACGGTCGTAAGCTCCTTCATGTCAGCTGCATTTCCATCCTCTTCCTTTATATACTGGCACTGTCAACTTTGGGACTTGTTGGTGTGCCGATTCGGCTGAAATATCAGTTATCTAAACCATCTTGCTTCATAGATGAACACATAACAGTGCTAGAGAAAGGAAAAGGGAAGAAAGTGTGTCTCTGGAAGGGTACTGCGCAGCTTCAATTTAGATCTGTGTAACTTGCTGTGGATTTCAGCTCTCAATGAGGCCTTACTGGTAGAGAAACTAATGCAAGTGTAATAGGTGCTGAGAAATACATATGCAGACACCATTTCATTTTGGTTTAGTCTCTAATTACCTTGATTGCATTTCACTTAAGCAAGTTTTTAAATTAAAACCAAAAAAGGTATATAGGAAGGAGGGCATAAGGGGTTGTATGACGGACTGAGCAGTTTGTTCTGTGTTCTTACAATAAGGCATGTTGATGTTACTTGTTTTCCGAAAGAATGACATTTAGGTATCATGGGAAGAGCAAGGAAACCGACATTTTACTTTTAGACATTTTCTGATGTGCAGGTTGGCACCTGCTTCCATTGAGCAAAACAAGGCTTCTCAATTATTTCTCAGGGATCATTGCTATTGAATGCTTACAGTACAGCACTTGGCAATGTACAGAACATAGAAGGTATGGTTGTGGCCTATGTTCCACATGCTGCAGCAAGATAAGATCCCGGATATGCAATAACAACATACTTTTGTTTGTTTCTTTTTATAGTTTTTTCTAAGCTAAGCTGTATTAAGTCACTATTATAGTTTATCTGCTTAAAAACAGCATTACCATCACATAAAATTTGACTTCTAAAATAGTAAAAAAAAAAAGTGTCATTAAGTTGCTTTAGGATTTAAGTATGCTTTATTCTCTTTCCTGGGAGCTGTAGTTACTAATCCTTTAGTGACATGATGGCATACTGGAACAAAGATTTTAAATTTTAGGTGAAGCTCAGGTTAGTTTGTTGTTCCCCAATGGACGGTTTGTGAGAGCACTCACAAGTGCTTTTGGCAACATTACAGAGCAATTAATAATAACCTAGTGACGTAAAAACAGGTAACTTTTAATGAGAATTTAAAAAGCTATTTTCAGGTGTCTTTTTTCACTCATGCTGGAAACATGATTCTGAAATAATTTGCTTTCTTAAAAGCAAAATCACAAAGGGACGTAAGGTTGGTTGGCAAATTAATTCGTTAGTACAATTGGTTTATCAATGAAATGTTCATTTATTATTTTACTGTAATGCCCTTCTTTTAGTACACAGAACATGTAATTTCTTATTAACCTTCTGAGTGATGAGTAATTCCAAGTGATCTCAGCCTTTTCAGTTAGAAAAGCTGGGTGCACAAACGATGCCTATCTGAAAAGTTTGATTCAGGTTAACTTGTGCAGTATATAATAGGACTTTTGTAGAAGCAGCAGGGAGATTGCAGGGATATCTGCTAACGGGTGATGAACTGGCATGATGAGATACTCTACAAGTTGAGACCGTTCTTGCTCATTAAACACTTTTTTTATTTGCTTGACATAGAAGAGATTACAAAAATTCTTGCTGTTCATTTTTGGAGCAGAAACTTGAATCCACCTCGTAGGTAACTGTCCTAGTCACCAAGTTATTGCATAGTTAAAATTTGGTCTTTTTTGTTCTTTCCTCTTGGATTTGTTTATATTAAATAAATATAAAACTAAACTACATTGAGGAAGTGATCCAGGCTAAAAATTAACTTTCGTTCTGACAAGTTATTGTAACAGGGATAAATTTCTTGACCTCTTTCACAGCACAGCTACACAAACTCTGCTAACACAGCTGGAAGAGCCAAGAAGGAAGAAGAGGCAGTGTGTGCTAAATGGGGCACTGCTGTTGAAAGAAATTCATGTAAAATGCAACTTGAACATTTTTATCTTAATTAGAATTGGAAACTGTAACTCAATCAGTTTGAGCAGGTGCTACCATTCTTATTTTACTTGAGCTGAATTAAAAGGTTGTTCATATTATTGGGTTCCTCACAGATTGGTAAGTTGGCAACATACAGTGATAGTTAAAGACATTAGCCTATTCCACTAGCACAACTAAATCTGAAAGAAAATGCCTGTGCATCGCTGTTTTCCTGTCTATTCCTTAATTTTTCCAGTTACATCTTACATTGCCTCAAAAAAATCTCTGTGCATTTCAATAACTCGCTGGGGAAAAAAAAAATGTGCACTTCAGGTCAGTTTTTGTATGTTGTCTATGAGTCACCACTAGTTTATTTGAAAATCCTGTGTATGGTTGGGCTTGAACCTGTCATGGTTTAACCCCAGCCAGCAACTAAGCACCATGCAGCCACTCACTCACTCCCGCCTCGCTCGGATGGGGGAGAAAATCAGAAGAGTAGAAGTGAGAAAACTCGTGGGTTGAGATAAAGACAGCTTAATAGGTAAAGCAAAAGCTGCGCACACAGGCAAAGCAAACCAAGGAATTCATTCACTACTTCCCATTGGCAGGCAGGCAGTCATCTCCAGGGAAGCAAGGCTCCATCACACGTAACGGTTACTTGGGAAGATAGAAGAAAATTACACTAGTACCAGTAGTTTTTGAAATCACTTACCCAAGCATATATGTCTGTGTAATCATTTGGTTTAGTCAGTATTGAATCAGTGCCTTTTCTGTTGAAGTGTAGTTTGGATTTGGCTGTGACTGAATTGTAATTCAGTTCTGGGTTAGCTAATAAGTTTGACCCTTTTCCTGACCCTCAGTCAGTTAGTTTAGGGAAAAACAGCATTTAAAAGGAGAAGCATCACATTATGTGAGCAAGCCAATGATCAGTAACTTTACACCTGGTTTTCTTTCTTCGTGCTTAGAGCTCAGGCACAACATGCAATATCACAGGCAGCTTCTTTGTAATCCCCACAATCTGATGCTGAAGAACTGAACAGAAATTGGTGTGCTCCACTGGTGGCAGTTTTGTGCCTGGGAGTAAGAAATGGAAGCCAAAGGGCAAGAACACTACTTCCCTCTTACTCTCCTGGGTTAAGCTGGGCCTGCATGTTTACAGTCTGGAAATAAAAGCCTAAGTCTCTTCAGTGAGTTAAGGCAAGGGCTTTATTTGCTGAAGAGAAACTCAGACTCAGAGATCCTTGCAAATACTTCAAGGATGTTGTTTGATGTAGAGAGAGACAATTCTGCAGATCTCTCTGCACTGGGAAGAAAAAGGATTAAGACGTGGTCAGCACTTCACAGTAAGAGTAGTTTACTTATGACTGCCTTTAGGAATGTTTGGAAAGTGTCTCTTGAGAACTGCAAATTATAGTAAAGAAAAAAAGACGTGTATTGTACATGCTGTTCTAAGCCATGTGGTGATGGAAAGATGAGAACAGATATGGTATGATGCTCTCTTTGCTGTCACCCTGAATGCAAACAGTTCCCATGCTGAACAAGCTCCGTTCTACTTCAATGAAAAAAATAAAATTCAGAGCTTGTTTTGATTTTAGATTTGATCACTCCGGTTAAGTTGTGGGGTTCGGTTTAGCTGACACTGATGCTGCAGGTTTTCTTCCAGGATAGCTGTATTGGCTCAGCTCTCTTGGGATAAATGAAGCATATGCCAGCCAAAGGAGTTCTTCTGCCACTGTCTGTGCATAATTACCTAAACTGACCGACCCCCCTCCTCATCTTCTGTCAGCATATTTGTACCTGTATTAGGATTTTTATTGTCATAATTGCTTAGGGAGAGGAGGGGGCAGACATATTTTTCATACATTTAGGTAACATACCTTACCTGGCAATTCTTTGTATTGTCAAATCAATCTAAATTTTGGCCTAAATGGAGTGGGGAGGCAGATTCACTTGAATTGAAACAAGTCAAGTAAGAATAATGGTCTCAGACACATTGTATTGGTTTAGTTCAGCCTTGGCATGTCAGAATATAACTGGTCCTAAATGCTGCCTACAAGTATAAAGGGGGAGGGATGGAAAGGAAAAACAATCACATTTCTTAGCATCAAAGAAAACTCAAAACATGAAAAGCTTTTATTTGTTTAGTTAAACCAGCTCAAATATACTTTGCCAAAATTTTATAACTTGTGTCAGCAGACAAATTTCTGTGAGAGCCAACCCTACATTTCTGCTAGGCAGCACTGCTGAAATAGCTGTGCCCATAGAACTCTATAGTGGCAGACACTTTTCCTAGGATTGTTGGGATTGCCTGTGGTGTTAGCCTGGTGCAGCTGTTCTAGGTGAATAAAACTCAGGATGGGCAAATGCTCCTGCATTTCTCTTTTCTTCAGTTGTATCTTCTTTCATCCATCTTTTCATATGTTTTTCATATTTATTTATAGTTTTCTTGATTCTTAATCATTATCTTGACACATGTTACCAAGCTTTTGGTCAATCGGAAGTTGCCATACAGCATCGCGTTTTCCATAGAATTGTGTTGGAAGAAGTCAAAAACACTGCTTTTTTTCTGTGCAGTTATATATTTGGGGTAAAACAATTTAAAAGCTTCAGGAACTCAAAAAAATTGTGATCTTCACCGTTGATTAGGTAACAATTACATCTTTCATGTGTCTGGACCCATCTGAAAAAAGTGTGATGCTAATTATAGTAGGTAAGATTGGTATTTTCACCAACTAGTGTAGACCATACAACTTTTCTTTCACAGAAGTTCTTCCACTATACCTTTTCCATCTTTCTTTATATTTTTTCCATACATGTAAATATCATATGTTCTTGAAATGCAATTTAGTCTAGAAATACCTTTTCAGATCACTTCTTGACCTTGCATCATGAGGAAGTTCTAGTGGCGTCATGGTTTTTTTTTTTAACATTTTTTCAAAACGTTTTGCTGTGTTAATAATTGTGTGGCTT